ATTCTCATTAATACGTGTGAAATACGCAGAGCGCCTTGTGCGATGATAAACGCCGGACATTTCTAGACCATATTGCGCTAGTTGAAACCTAGTTTATAAAGTGCGAAGGAACCAGACGAAAAAGGAACACAACCGAGTACTTTCAACACCGTACTGCACCATCGAAGGCGACTCATCACCATCTTGTTCGTGCAGTCAACCTCAGCTACAGGCGAGACAAGCAACTTTGCCTTGAGCGTGAAATCGGGAAGATGAATAATGTATTCAGAGAAGGTGACTGTGGTACAGTGTTTGAAGGAGTTCTAAAATTGTACGATTGTACGCTAAACGAGCGACTTGGTTTGTTTTTGTCCGAAACTTGAAGGATATTCCAATAATAGGTCAGAAGGAACGTCCCAAAGGATGGGTTGAGGGCATTTTTGGAACTGCTCAACACCAATCTTCCAGATTTGTCTTTCCTACCGCTAATTGTCTGCCAGTACTAGAGTATAGTTCGCTCAGACACATCCAGAAGACTGAATATCCAAAAGCTTGGCATAACTTGAAGATGAAGAAGACCTAGATCGAACTCAGTACGGAGAAACAAGAATTGTAAAATCACCGTCTGCGTTGTTTCACTAGATGTGAACCTCAGTACATCTCTCTGTAGAACGAAAGTGCTAAGCAACTGTCCCTAAATTCAAATTATTTAGGGCCATCGAGGGTTCTAATTATCGTGGTTTCGCACTACTGTCAAATCCAGGGAACTTCCTGGAAAAGGTGAGGTAAATGTTTGACAAGAAATTGAACAAGCTTCTGAATGCCGTGATGCTGCCCCCCTCAAATTTTCATTCAACGTAAGATCACCGAGCAATGCCAACGTTTAGCCTTAGTTGACTTGGTTAGCCAGTTTCCTCCACTTTTCCATTGCAGTTGATTTAACTCTTTGTGCAACGATATGCTGAATCCCAAAATGCTATGGGATACTTTAACATATCGTTTCCGTTTTGGAAAATACTTATGCACGAACCACGTGTGTTGTCGGAATCGAATGAGCGTACTTCCCTATCAACTTTGGAGTTCGTCTGAGTGATGTGCTTTCGCCTTTGCCATTGAACGATGCTCTTAATTTTGTTACGAAACAGTGCTGACGCTGGCTAAAGCGGTCTAACTCCAGAGGTAAGGCTCAGTTCAAGATATCCGACTAAATGTCTTACTGACTTGGAGGTTCGTAGATGGTACTGTCCTGGTCAGTGATATAGGGAGCAGGCTGTGTCTCATTACGGCTTCTATTTGTAGCACAACTGCGAAAGGTAACCTCTACCTTAACCTTAACCTTAATTTTAACCTTAACCTTAACTTTAACCTTAACCTTAAACTTAACCTTAACCTTATCCTTAACCTTAACCTTATTATTAACCTTAACCTTAACCTTAACCTCAACCTTAACCTTAACCTTAACCTTAACCTTAACCTTAACCTTAACCTTAAACTTAACCTTGGAACTGCGCCCTCGCATCCAGTGCCTTTGGTATGCTGTGCAACATATGGCCTGAGAAACGAGTTACCTATTTCTTTCCATGTACATCCGTTTACATATTTCCTCGGTTAGGTCAGTGTTGTTGTGCGGCATGGAGACAGGTGTTTTAATGAAGGACCAAGAACAACGTTTAATCTGTTTACAGCAGCGTTGGCTTCTAGGCATAGTTAGAGTTAAACAGCAAGATCACGGAAGGGATGGCTGTATTTTCCTCTGAACGCATCGAGCCCTGACAGACTGGAAATACAGAAACAAAGTTTGGCCTTGTTAAACATACTGGCTGAGCA